GGTGTGCATATATCTACTTGTGTGGCAGTTACAGTTTATTTAGGGTATATTCCCAGTAGTAGTGGAATTACTGGGTCAAATGGTATTTCTATTTGCAACTTTTTGAGAAAGTGCCATACTGCCTTCCATAGTGGTTGCACCATTTTGCACTCCCACCAACAGTGAATAAGGGTTCCAGTTTCTCTACAACCTCGCCAGCATTTGTTGCTTGCTGTTCTGTTAAATTTTTCTGTTCTTACTGGGGTGCGATGATATCTCATAGTTGTTTTGGTTTGCATCTCTCTTAGAGCTAGGGATGTTGAACATTTCTTCATATGTGTGTGTATCATCTGAATGGTTTCTTTGGTGAAATATCTGTTTATATCCTGTGCCCACTTTTGAATTGGATTGTTTACCTTTAACTTGTAGTATAAATTTTTATTTCTTAAAAAATTATAGAAAAATATTCCAACTTGTTTATAAGCAAATAAATGTAGGTTTCCCTTTTTTTCAACCATGGAAAAATGTAAACATATAATATGGTATTAGAATAGTATCATGAATCCCATGTGCTCATATTGTAGCTTCTGCTGGTTCAGCTCATGGCAAGACTTATTTAATTTCTACCTCCTTCTACCACCAGATTATTTTAAAGTGAGTATTACCTATTGATTCATTTAACACACACACACACACACACACACACAAACACTACATACACACAAACAAATGGACATTAAAACAAGGAAATGTAATTTTTACCTATTGGTGACGTTATCGTTGTTTGCTGTGGAGTTGGAACTGATTCAGATCTGACCCTTCAGTGGGTTTTCAGAGATAATAAATCTCACAGGAGGAGACTGCTCACCTTCCTCCCACTTCACTTGGGTACTCAAGTACTCAAGTTCATAGCAAGTACTCAAAAGAATAACACACAATGTTGGTGTGACTGGTGTGAAATGTGCACTATGCCACTGGAGGGAGTATCAGTTGACATGATTTTCCTGGAAGATTTTGGTTCAGGATATTACAAAATCTTAAAAATGGGTATACCTTTTACATAATGATTCTGTTTTTTTGAATTTGCCTTAAGGAAATAATAGCGATATGCACACATACTTTTTTCTTAAGAAAGTTCATTGAAATATGATTAATGATAAGACTAAATTTATGTCCAATAGCAGAGAAAAAGTTTATAAATTAGACAATCCAGATAAGAAAACACTAATTACAAAGTACATTAAGGAAGAGTACTAAATGAAATTATAAAACATTTATAATATAGTCAGTAAAAAAAGAAATTTCTAAAACAAACTATATGATTTCAGTTATATTAAAGTTATAGTGTTGTTGGATTTTTAAAATTTTGGTGAAAATGTGTATAACTAAACTTTTACCAGTTCAACAATTTTCATCTGTACAATTCTGTGACATGGATTCCATTTTTCATGTTATGCAACCTTTATTGCAAATTTTAGATGCACACATGAAATTGACTTGGCTGCAACTGATGGGTTTTATAGGAAAAAGACTAAAGGGAAATATATCGAAATGATAACATGGTTATCACAGGGTGGTTTTTATTTTCTTTATTTGTATATTCTTTTTCCAAATATTTTACAATGAAGATGTATTGCTTTCCTAATTAGGGGTGAGGGTGAGGAAGCATATTTTGTAAAATGTAGAGGCTACAGGGTATGGTTTTAGACCTGGCTTGCCCTTGGACTTTGTCCTTCCCAAGAATGGCCCTGCTAACCAAAATAACATGCTAGGAAAAAGCATTTTCTTGGTATCAGTAAGGAATGTTCCAGGCAGGGAGAGGCAAGGCTGTAAGGAGGACAGCCAGGAGGTTACTGCACTTGTCCCAGTGAGAGGGTGCACACCTCACCCATAAAAAGATGGAAAATCTCTTCTTCCCTGTCCTAGATCTTGTGCTGGAGAGAAGATTGAGGATATCAGGGCAGGCTTGGGTGAAAGCTCCAATATCTTGTTGTTCTGCTGGTCTCTAACCTGTGTTAGGATTAACTAGCAAGCTGTTTGCTTTTCGGAAGCATCCCTTGTCACCCTAAAAAAAATTGGGACTATGCTTTTAGACATATGTTGTTTTGCAGCTGCAAAAAGGTGTCCTTGGCTAAGATATGTACCAGATGCTTGGCCTCTCTTTGTTTTCTAGTTGAGTTCTTAAGCTCTTTTGGATCACTTCTTCCTTCACCTGCCCTAGCTGGAGTAATGTCCCAGGCAGGAAAACTTCCCTCCTTCCACACAAGCATAACTCACCTTTGGATTCTCCTTTGGGTGGTTATGACCTTGGGCATTCCCCTCCTACAAGGCTGCCTTGTTGGAGTAACAGTAGGGAGCAGGCCCAGTGAGTAAGTTGGGACTAATGTTCTGTCCTCTGAACCGCATACCTGGGAGGCAGCTGTGCAGAGAGCAAGGTTGGGGACCTTTAGTGCTCACTATACTAGGCACACATGAGCACATCCCATTTCCTCTGCTTCCTGCCAGGTGACTCAGTTTGTTCCTTCTCCCCATATTCCATCCCTGGGAAACTTGAAGGATAGAGGGCCACCTATTGGAGGATGGGAGAGGAAATCTTGTGTGCTGGGAAGTCTCTGGGGAGGCCATAACGTGAGTCCAGCATTAGATGTGTTCATGTTTCTTTCAGCCCTAGGATCTAAAAACATCTTAACTTGTGCTCACTTCTGCAGCACATATACTAAAATTGGAACAATACAGAGATTAGCAGAGCCCCTGCACAAGGATCACGTGCAAATTCGTGAAGAATTCCATATTTTTTTAAAAAATCTTAACTCCTTTACTAATTTTTTTATAACAGATTAATTGAAATTTAATTTACATACCATAAAACTCACCTGACATCACCTGAAATTCATTTCAGTAGTTTTCAATATGTTCAAACAGCCATCATTACAATTTTATCACCCCCTCAAAGAAACCATATCAACAAGCAGTCAGCCCATTTATTCCTAAACTCCACCTCAACCTCAAACCTACTTAATACCTGTATGGATTTGCCTAGTCTGGATATAGATGGACTTAGAAATTATGTGGTCTTTTGTGGATGGTTTAGCATACTTTTTAACTTAGCATAATGTTTCCAAAGTTCATCTGTGTGACATTTATCAGTATACTTCATTTCTTTCTATGAGGAATTGTCCATTGTGTGATTGTACCATATTTATCTGTGCCTTGGTTGATGGACATTCACATTATACTCACTTATTAACTATTATAAAAAATACTCCTGTAAACACTTGTGTACATGTTTTCGTGTAGATGTGTTTTTATTTCTCTTGGGCATGTGCCTCAGAGTGGAATTACTGGGTCACACATTAGCCATTTGAGAATTCTCAGCTGGTTTACAGAGCCCCTATACCATTTTATACTCCTTCTAGCAGTATGTAAAGAGATTCTAATTCCTCTGCATCCCTCCCAACATTTGTTATTATCTGATTTTTTTTATTATAGCAATCCTACTGGGTGTGAAGTGATTTCTTACTGTGATTTTTATTTCATTTCTATTAAGAACGAATAATGTCAGGTATCTTTTCATGTGCTTATTTATTAGCCATTGTGTAGCTTCTTTAGAAAACTGTCTACCCAGATCCTTTGCTTATTTTTACAACTTAGTTTCTTGTGTTTTTATCATTGCATCATAAGAGTTCTTATATGTATATATTCTTTTTTTTCTTCTTAAGCTTTATTTTTTAAATAATTTTAATGAGCATTTACAGAGTATATATATTCTTGACACAAGACTCTCATGAGCTACATCATTTACAAAAATTCCCTTCTCTTCTGTGCATTGTCATTTCACTTCTTTGATGATGCCTTTTAAAACACAGTAGTTTTTTATTTTGATGATGTCCATTACTCAGTGTCAACTGAGAGTAAAACAGGCAGAAATGTCGGATGGCAGGTGTGTGGCTAAATTCAGACTTGGCACAGTAGATCCCTTTTAGCAGTCAGTCCTGCCTCTTTTAGTGTAAGCAGCAGCATGTTTGATAAAACACAAAAAAGGATTAATGATAAATAGGGGAAGGGAACATGAGCTTAGGTCTGCATAAACAGCCTGACATTCACGGCGGCAGGTTGACATCACTGTCCGGAGAGTGATCCTCGTGCCAGGGCCTGGTGGGTGTGGTGCGGTTCTCTGCGTGTGAGAGGAGCACTGGCTGGTTGTTTGGGAGAATGTACTTTGCTCTGTGCCTGTTATGATCTACAAATATGTTGCAATATTTTACCGCGCCTGGATTTGTGTGTAATTGCTGAGGGTTTTAACCATGATATCATGTTCACATTGGCCCTCTCTTGTTCTGCACCCCACATTCAGTAATGGGAGAGCGGCCTCATTGGACTTTCCAGGTGGCGATCTGTCAGGCTGACTCTAATGATGGAAAGTTAATCCCCCTTCAGGATCCAGAAGGGAGAATCCTAGGTCCTCTCCCTTTTCAGCCCTGAGGCAACTGAAAAAAATTCTGATTGGCACCTTCCATTCTCTCAAAACCCAGAGCAGCTTTTGCTGACATCTGGTCTTTCTGGGACACTGATATTTTTATTTAGAAAATGATGCTCTGATCCCCAAATAGATCCTGAACGGGCTTGTTCTCTTTGAGGGATGCCTGAAGCTCTCAACTTTTGCTTTCTGGCCTCTCAGGGTAACCCTGGAAAGATAGAGCCCTGCTTCATGTACACCATGGACGGGGAGGAGAAGGGTTGTCTGACAGCCCCGTCTTGACATCTGGAGCTGGACTTCTGCACCACTCTCCACCCCTCTATTCCCATCCCCTCCCGACTTCAGTCAAGGAAGGAGACACTCTCAATTAGCAGTAATTACCCCTGGGCTAATCCCTCCGCGAATTACACAGGAAGGAGGGTGGGTAAGCAGTGAGGCCTGGCAGCATCATAATTCCCCGCTCCCCTCCTCCTCCATCTTCACTCTGTCCGTTCTCCCAGCCTTTCCCCCCATACTTAGGTTTCCCTGCTTTCTTGTCTTTCAGCTTCCCAACATGTTTGGTGACCTTCGGTCCACGTTTATTGCCTTGATGATTGGGTCCTACGCGTCCTCAGCAGTCACCTTCCCTGGAATCAAGGTGAGGGTGTGACCAGCAGGCCCCCTTGTTTGTTCGGGGGAGTGTATCCCCAGAGCGTCCCCAGGCTCACTTAACCCCTTCTGAGGAGAGAAGCCCTTGTAGGTGTTTGTGTGGATCCTCCTACACACACCTGGGCAGGATGCACCTGCAACCACAGGCGTGAGAAGAAAAAAAGGCCTTCGGAAAATTCAAGCGATAGTCTCGCTCTGGGCCGATGCTTGTGCATCTCTGGGTTGGGGTAGGAGAGGCGCTGGCATGGTCTGGCCCAGAGTCTGGCCCCAGTCTCCCTGACTCCAGCCCTGTTGTTGTTGTGCTGTTGATCCCCATTTGCCAAAGAGCAGCTCTCTCTGCCAAGTTGGTTCAGCTGTTTCCCTCCCAGGCAGGCTCCTGAGCCCGTGGAAGTCAGACCGGGTCAGGAGGAAACAAACACCGCACGGTCGGTCCATCAGCCCCAGCCACTGCCCCCGGTGCCGGAGCTCCTGCCAGAGCTGCCGAAGGGACTCCTCCCTCGTCTGGCACCAGTGCCAAGTGAAACTCTTTCCTGAGATTTGCAGGGAGGGTACCACAGATGTGGGCCACCCTTGGGAATTGAGGGAGCTGAAGGGTGGGGATCAGCATTCTCAACATGGAGCAGAGAGGAGCTACAAGTATCTCTTCTTCCTCTCTTCTCGGTGCCTAGCTGGGGGTCTGACCTGTGAACTGAGCAGATCCTGCTAATACTTTGAGGACCTTTTTTTTATGTGCTGGAAAGAAACAGCAGTGGTACCAATCACAGCTCCAGCACTCTGCCAGGATAATATATTAACCCCACCACACCACTCTTAAGGATATGTGCCAGCATTATGCCAATTACACAGAAAAGCAAAGTGAGTCACACTGTTTACTCATTCCCTGAGTTCTTTGTATACACTGACTGTGGACAATCTTCTTGGCACTGGAAAAATGTGGGCAAGGTAGCCAGGCTCCTTTTCTCCAGGAGTCGGACTAGCAATGGAGTCCAGCTACAAAGTAGTACAGTTGTCTCAGACAGGCTGCTTGCTTCGACTCAGTGGAACAGGTGATAGGACAAGGATGGTGGTGGTCAGGGAAGGCTTCTGGAGGAGGTGACATTTGATTCCCACTGGCAGCACAAGAGGTTAATAACACTCCAAGGCCAGATACCCAGTAAGCAGGATATTATTGTAAAGCCTGATGTGTCTGATGACTGAGGGCCCATGCTGGGAGGCCGTACCTCCTCTGTGTCTCCCCACTGTGTCAGGACAAAGCTGACAGCTACCAGGGCTTCTGCAGGGGCTCCTCCCTCCTCTGCACAGCTGACTCCCCTCTGCTAATGTTCCCCTCCCCCATCGTGCCTGTCAGGTCATCTATGACTTTGGTGCCTCCTTCATCGTCATCCTCGTGGTCTGGGCCGGCTGCTCCGGGCTGGTTTTCCTCAACTGCTTCTTTAACTGGCCTCTTGAGCCCTTCCCAGGGCCAGAGGACATGGACTACACGTAAGTAGACATGCTTCTCTCTGCCTCCATCCTGCTTCCATCGAGGTCCCCAGCAGCACTAATGGATACTCTCCCACTCCCATGGTCTCCAGAGTAAAGATCAAGTTCAGTTGGCTGGGCTTTGACCACAAGATCACAGGGAAGCAGTTCTACAAGCAAGTGACCACAGTGGGGCGGCGCCTCAGCGTGGGCAGCTCTGTGCGGAGCGCCAAGGAGCAGGCGGCACTGCAGGAGGGCCACAAGCTGTGCCTGTCCACCATTGACCTCGAGGTGAAATGCCAACCGGATGCCGCAGGTACCTGCCACACCGCCCTGCCTCCCGTGACATCCCACAGGGCTGCCAGCACCCCCACCTGGGCAGCAGGGAGCAGGCCTCGATCCCAGACCTGAAAACAGCTGAGGGTTTTCTGGGTTCCATCTTACTCCATCCCAAATGGAGATGACACAACCCAGCCCATTTTACAGATAAGTGTCCTGAGGCTTACAGAAGTTAAAGGATTTGACCAACTTCAATTTCACACCCTCTGGTATAAATGGTTAAGTACTTGACTGTTAGCCAAAAGGTGGGAAGTTCATACCTGCTCAGAGCCACTTCAGAAGACAGACCTGGCTGTTTGTTCCAAAAGAACACAGCCCTGCAAGCCCTGAGCAGTTCTTTCTGCATACATGGGGTCACCTTGGGTTGGAGTCAACTCAATAACAACTAGTAATTTCACACGATTGGGATACAGCTTCAGAACCTACACTGTCTTCAGCTCTGTGACCAGCCAAGCTGGTCCTTAAGTTACACCAGGCCTTCCCCTGCATCTAGAATGGAGGTGATCGTGTCAGTAAATCGACTTCTGCTTCCTCTGGACAGTGGGTGGGTGGTGGACCTGGTGGACCCTGGCTGCAATTCCCCCTGAGAGCCCATGGCCTTCTCCCCACAGCGGCCCCCTCGTTCATGCACAGTGTGTTCAGCCCCATCCTGTTGCTCAGCCTCGTCACCATGTGTGTCACCCAGCTGCGGCTCATCTTCTACATGGGTGCCATGAACAACATTCTCAAGTTCCTGGTCAGCGGTGACCAGGATAAAGGTGAGTGGCTCCTCGGGCTTGGGTAAATAGTCCCATTGGAAAGTAGCCGCTGCGTCTCATCTGGTTCTTCCTGTCTACCTGAGGTCAAGCCTCTGGAGAGCAGCAGTGACGCAGTAGGCAGGGCTGGGCCGAAACACCGAGGCCCAGAGCCCAGCCGAAACAGAGAAGCCTGGGGCTGGGCCGAAACAGCGAGGACTGCGGCCAGAACACTGAGGCCTGGGGCTGGGCCGAAACACCAAGGCCCAGGGCTGGGCCAGAACAGCGAGGCCCAGGGCCTGTGTGCATGTCAGAGCGTTTCAGCACAGCCAGCCCGAGCTGTTTCTTCATGTCCCCAGTCAGGGCTTGCTGTCTCAGAAGGTAAAGGAGGCCTGAATAGCTACATGTGTTTGGGGCATGTTTTCAATGCCTGAGGGGCAGGTGGATGTGTATGTTAGTGAAAACATCTCACAGAACAGTGAATTCCACCTTAGTGTTGTTGAAAGAACAGCGAATCAAACCCAAATGCAGAGACACCCCCAGAAAACCGCAGGACTGGCGTGAGGAGAAGCTGGGCAAGGAAGAGAGGAAAGCCTGAGGGTTGGAACCTTCCCTGTGTGTTGAATCCAGTTGAGACTTGTTGACTCCAGTAAACAGGACTGATAACCCACATACTACTTTTCCAAAACAGCAGAGAGGGCTGTCAGCTGATTAGAGATTTTGATTGTGCAAAGAGTCTCTACTTCCTCAGGGCCTGAGCTGAGTCAGCGCTAGTTGCTAGTCGTCCTAGAGTGATGCATGGGGGAAGATTGATGTTGTCCACAATCAACATCAGTGAAGCAGCTGCCAAGACATGTAGTGTACGGAAAATCTGCTACAGAATGCACCTTTGAAATGTAAAAAAGTAAAGATGTCACTTTGAATACTAAGATGTCTTTAGTCTCTTTAAGCTTGACTTAGGCCATAATATTTTCTTTTTTAAATATATATAAAATTTTTATTGTTGTTATTATTGATTGCCTTCAACTCAAGCACGACTCAGCGACTCTATGAACAAAAAGGCCTGAAGCCCCTCTACAGCTATTGACATTTATCAAAGTTCATAGAGTTTCTGGAGACATGTTGTTTAGCAAGTAGATGCCACTCCTGCTTCCAAACCTGTCATAGTATGGTATTGTTTTTATATGCCATTGAGTCGCTTGCGATGTATAACGACCATATGTACAGCAGCTCTGAACCCTTCCCTGTCCTGAGCCAGTCTCACTAACTCCGACACACCAACCTCTATCACCCCAGTGACTGTATCAGTCCATTTCATCCTGGGTCTTCCTCTCTTGCACTGTCTGTCCACCATTCCAAGCATGATATCCTTCTCCAAGGACCTATCTCTCCTGGCCACATGCCCAAAGTAAGTGAGATAGAGATTCAAAATCCTAGCCTCCAAGGAAAGACTGGTTTACTTAAAAAGTCTGTATATATTGTTTTTACACTGGATCTTCCCCCTTTCCTTTACCCATCCCTCTCCCCACCCATCAAATTGTGTGACCTGATAATTACCAACACCCCTCCGCCTGCCCATCCTCAACCCCCTGCTCCCACCCTCCTTCTATCTTCTTTTGATTCTTTCTGGGTCCATCGGCATACTGCTGTCAGCATCCGTAAGTATTGCAGCTTGAGGCTCAAACTTGTTCTTCAGTTCCTTTTGATTTCCCCACTCCAAATTTTTGCACATTTCATTATAATACTTGGCTTTGTCTTCCTGAGCTACCCTTGGAAATCTGTTCAGCTCCTTAACTTCCTGATTTCTTCTCTTTGCTTTGGCTTCTTGGTGTTCAAGTGCGGTATTCAGAGTCCCAACTGACATCAATCTTGATCTTTTCTTCCTCTGTCTTTGTAATGGCCTTATGTGTTTTTCATGGATGATATTTTTTTAATATATGTTCCCACAGCTCATCTGGTCTTCATTCATTAGTGTTCAGGGCCTCAAATCTGTTCCTGAGAAGGTCTTTAAATTATGGTGGGATAAACTTGAGTCAAACTTTGGTTCTTGTGGATTTAATTTGATGTGATTTTCTTTAGCTTTAGTTTGAACTTGTGTATGAGAAGTTGATGGATTGTTCCACAGTCAGCACAGCTGATACTGGGCTTCTCCATCAATTTTTTCTACATATGTAACAAATCTGATTCCTGTGTAGATTATCAGGTAAAGTCCCATCTGCTCCCTCCTTCCCCCTTGGATCCTTATACACATTCTACAATAGTATTTTCATTGGTTTTGTGTACAGATCAGAGCTAGACAAATTGAAGATTTTATACTTTTGAATTTTATGCCTTTGAATTGTTGGTGAAACATACCAAATATACTGTCAACTGCCAGAAGAATAGACGAATCTGTTTTGAGTGCCTTAAAACTCAACCTGTTGAGTCAGTACCAACCCATAACTGATCCTCCATCAAGTCTCATGGTGGTAGATTGTCTGTCTTCCTCCCAGGGAGCAGCTAGTGAACTTGAACCACCTGCCTTTAGATTGGCCGAGCAGCTCCTTGCCCACTAGGCCACCAGAGCTCCCTGAGGATATCCAAACTTTTCTCTCATGTACTTTGGGCATATTATGAGGGACCAATACCTACAGAAGGACATTGTGCTTGGTTTACCAAAATGTCAGTGAGAAAGATTAAGACCCTCATCACAATGGGTGCAGCGATGGCCTGAAACAAAGGCCTGGTTTTTGAGGATGGCGCAGGACCAGGCAGTGTTTCCTTTGTAGTGTTAGGATTGCTGTGAGCCCACAATGACTCAAGGACACCTAACAACAGAGGGGCAATCACATTTGATAAATTCTTCATATTACCGGTCACATGGGCACATCGCCTTTTTGCTGGTCCCGTTGTTTTTTACTTAGCGTGAGATGGCCTAGGTATTGAAAAGAAATGAAATATCAACCTTTAGACCAGACAAGAATGCCAGTTTTAAGTACAAGAAGGCATGGCCTTAAAGAGCCAGAGGGCAGCACTTGTTCTGCCATAGAAATGAGAGCTCTGTAGATGGAGAAGCACTGTGTGAAAATCCATCATGAGCATTAAATATGCAAAGACCTGAAGGCACCCTGTATTCTAAGTAGCCTGAACTTAGTATGATGTTCCCCCAAATTGTCACAGGACCCTTTTTTATGTTAACACTCATTGCAACCTGTGTAACACATTTGGAGAAAACCAGTCTATCACTTCTGACCAGTTGCCAACGTCAGCCCCAGCGCAGGGCGTCTCCGTGCGTGTCCGAGTAGAACTGTGCCCACAGAATTTACAGTACTTACTTTTTCAAAAGTAAGTCTTCAGGACTTCTTTTCCAAAGGCACTCCTGGACTTGAACCTCCAACCTTTTGATTAGCAGCCAAGCGCCTTAAATGCTCACACCATATCAGGACTCTTGTCATGTGTAAACACCCTCTTTTTCTAAACCTTCAAGACCAGTGAGGCCAGGCCTGGGGTCTGCACAGAAAGTCCCACTCCAGCCCTTGGGAAGCACGTTTTCCTGTGGTGTAGCCAAGTCCTGATCCTTTTTTACTTCTCTGAATAACTCAGCAGCCCAGGAGAAACTTTTCCAGCTGTTTCTCATGTTCACAAAGTCAATGTCAAGGAGTAGAGGAAGTTGGGTGGGGGAAGTTAGTCTGTGGTGCCTGGACACTGGTTTTCCCCATTCTGCTCTTGTGAGCTGTTGCGCCAGCCCCATACTCAGCTGTGCCCAGAAATGCCCCTTCAGGACGGGGGATGCCAAAGGAGCAAGCCCTGGCTGTTTGGTGGATCTGAGGTGGATTCTTTGACCTCTTCCTCCCTACAAATGCAAGAGGAGGTGGCCCCCACAGAGCAGCATCCCTGAGATGGCCATAGAGTGAGTGGCTCTGATGCTCCTAGCCTTTCCTCGTGTACATCACTTCCTCATCATGTCCCTGGCTGGTTCCCCACCAGCCTGGGATGAGGCACTGGCAGCGCGTGAGTGGGACACTCTCAGACAGGGCAGCATCAGCAGGCACCCGGGTCGGGCCCTGTCCCACCTCTCCTGCCCGAAGGCTGGTCTGCTTCCTTTGAGCTCAGGCCTGTGTATAAAATGTGTGCTGGACTAGCCTGTTTGCTCACCCCAGCTCTCTAACAACAGCTTTTGAGATTTCTGCTGCTAACCCCTCTCCTTTCTGCCTTTTCACCATGGCTTTCTTGATGCAGTGATGGCCACAGGTAAGCAAGGGGACTGTCTGAGCATGGCAACAGCCCCTCCCCTCAGCAGGTATGGTCCCACCAAGTACCACCTCCCTGGAGCACCATGATCTCTCTTGACTACAACTGCTGCATGGGGGTGGGGCTGACCTCTTTCAGCTTCTACTTGTCTGAGCAATCTCATTATTTGAAGACCCTTTAAAGCTTGAAACCTTTATACCAGAGCCCCTGTGAGAGGTGCCTTTCTGGGTTATTTCAAGAGGCAGAAAACTAATGGTCAGTTTTACAGTCTGAATCATACATTGGTAATTTTGTGGTTCCCAAGTCACTGCAGGTTCCTGGAGCTTCTGGGGAAGATATTGTCGCATACTGGATTTCATTTGCTGTTTCTTAGAAACCAGTAGGGGATGGGGAACAGAGAATAAGGTGACCTGGCCCTCGCTCTGGCCTTGACTTCAGAAGTTAAGATGTCTGGGCTCTCTTCAAACCCTGCAGTGACAAGGAGGGTATCAGTCAGGCCCCAGATGGTCCTGGTGTGCCACCTTGTTCTCAGATCCTGCTCCAGGCCCCTTGACTAGGAGCCTTCTCCTCACACTGCCCTGTCTTTCTCCCTAGTTGGCCTCTACACCTCCATCTTTGGCGTGCTCCAGCTGCTCTGCCTGCTGACAGCCCCTGTCATTGGCTACATCATGGACTGGAGGCTGAAGGAGTGTGAAGATTCCTCTGAGGAGCCTGAAGAGAAAGACACTAACCAGTGCGTAGGCAGGACGCATGCCCCTGGCTCCCAGCCCTCAGGGGACTAGGACCACACAGGCACACGTTAATCCAGGACAGGGTGGGTGGGTCCGGCTTAAAGTCAGCAGGAGAGGCAAGACCCAGAGCATGCTCCAAGTTACTTTCTCAGATTCTCATTTGTTCAGCTCAGCCTATGCTTTGGAATTTTCTATTAGGAGTTCTTTTGCATGCCAAAACTTGGAAAGCAGAGAAGGGTGTGGGAACAAGAGGAGGGTCTGTTTTCGGATGTTGCTGTTGATGTGTACCATCAAGCTGGAACTGATTCATAGCTGACCTTCTAGTGAGTTTTCAGAAGCTGTAAATCACATGAGGTGATGACACATCCTTCTCCCATGGAGCAGCTAGTGGATTCAAACCATGAGCCTTTAAGTCGACAGCGCAGTTCCTTACCACTAAGCCACCAGAGCTCCCTGTCTCCAGATGACTGACTATTAAATCATTCTGCTTTTAGTACAACCCTCTGATATGTGGTATGAGTGGCACAGTCAGTAAGTAAATGATGATTTTAAAGTCTCTTGCCTCCCCATAAGGCTTCATTTACTCAGTTTGAATACTAAGTGGCTGAAACCTTTCACTCATTCTCTGTCACTGCTGAGTCAGAACTGACTAATAGCAGACCCTCCATTGAGTTTCTGAGGTTGTAAATCACAAACCCATCTTTGTCCTACAACCTTCCTATGTATTCATGAACTTGTTTCTGATTGTGAGGTTTAAATGAGGTTCTGGCACCCCTTCTCCTGTTAGGGGTTGGACTCTAAAATGAAAGGATGAGTTAAATACTGTCTTTTATGACCCCACCTTAATATAATAAGCTGCTATCTACTGTATCAGTCCTTATGCCAAGCACCTAATGCGTCAGATCTCTGTACATCCTGTGAGCTGTGTGCTCGTCTTAGACCCATTTTACAGATAAGAGAGCTGAAACTAGGGATTTAAGGAGCTTGCCTGAGGTCACAGAGGAAGTGGTAGTCCTGGCTTCCTGAACTTCTCTAAGCAATCTGCCTTCATTCGTGGGGGAGTGAAAGCATTCTTCATGTCCCCTTGATTGTCCACAGGGGATCTATGTGGGTGGTGAGGCTGTAAATGGTGATAGTGAATTCACAAGGAAATAATTACAGAGAATGCTGTTATCTAGGTCAGGTCCACAGCCAAGGGTTATCTGTGCCCATTCTGGTTCCATCTGCTGCTTATTTATTTCTTCTTCACTCCTTCCTGCCCTCCCAGGGAAAACCCATTCATTTCCTCTGTAGCCTGCCTGTTATTGGCTCACTGCAAAGTTTAGTGAAGTTGAAGCCAATGATAAAAATGAGGCTTTTGGCACTTCAGAACTTGGGCACGTGCTTTGTCTCCCCATCCTCAGTAGTTGAGGTCAGTTTGTATTGAAGGCAGTGCAGTGTATTGGTGACCATCTGCTCATGTCCGAGACCCTTCCACTAAGGTTCCTTTTAGTGCTCCCTTAAGAGGGAGAGTGAAACTGTCCCTAGTGCAGGTCTAGCCCTGCAGTGGGTGAGGTGGCACCTGCTGTCTTGATTGGTCCGTGTATTGTGGCACCCCAGCTCCTTGAGAGGGAGCTCTAGTGCTAAAGAGTTGCACTGCCAACCCAAGGTCACATGGTTTTTGAATCCCTCAGCCGCTCTGCAGGGGAAAGATGGGCAGTCTCCTCCCATACAGTTTACTGCCTCTGAAAACTCACTGTAAGGTCAACTATGAGTCGATTCCAACTCAATGGTATGAAACAACAACTTGTTGAGAGAACTGCTCCCCAGGTCCTATGTCCCTGCTCATGTCTCCACAGAGGTGAGAAGAAGAAGAAGCGGGACCGGCAGATCCAGAAGATCACCAACGCCATGAGGGCCTTCGCCTTCACCAACCTGCTGCTTGTGGGCTTCGGGGTGACCTGCCTCATTCCTAACCTGCCTCTACAGGTAGGGATGGGGAGAGGGAGAGGCCAGGTGGGGGTGGGGATGACAAGAAGGGATGCTGTTTGGAGATTTAAAGATGCAGGATACATCATGGGAGCCATCACAAACCAAACAATGACTTTCCATTCATTTATTCAACCAAGTGATCAGCTAGCTATTATGTTCCGAGACCCTATTCTCAGCAGGCCCTGTGCTGCATGCTGGGAGTGAGCTGTGAGGCCATGGGCTTTTCTGTTGCAAATGAACCCATCTCTATGAAGGTTTTCTTGTGGTTCTTCTTGGTCTTTTGGGCATCTTGCATACCATAAGATCACTACCATGCCACTTCTCAAATCATAGGGCAATTGTGTAGCTCTTTGCTAGTGTTTTCCTGAAATAGCCAAGAGGTGATGGTGCCGAAGGTCTGGCCAGGCTGTGGCATCAGTAGGTATCTGCACCCCTGCCACCAACTCGGGCATGTCCACTGGGTTAGAGCTGTGAGCACTCAGCTTCCAGACTCAAAAGCTTACTACCTTTCCACCACACTTCTGGTCCTTGTGAAATCTGACGTCTGGCAGAGTTTGAAAGCGCACACTAGACTTTGCTGCCTGCCTGACTCCACCCTTTGGACCCATGCAAGTGGTCGGGCAGTAGGTGTGGCCCCAATTTATAAGCTGATGAACTTTGAAGGGACATAGGAGATGGGCCTTACTCCCAGATGGCGGTAGCCCAAGTCCAGATAGTATCTTGTGCCAGGTCTCAGAGGAAGGCAAGGTCCCTCCCTTTTTACAATCGGTCATGTATTACAGAGTCCATTAACATTGTGTGCGCACCCACGGGGATGATATATGTGCTGACACAGTCCCACTTGCATCGTTGGTGTCTCCTTGTAAATACCCTCTCTGCATGACTGGCAGGCCATTGCCCTGACCACTGGACTGGGCCCAGTCACAGACTAGGGCTCAGAGAGAACAGCCATCTACTCTGCTTTTATTTCATTGTTTTTTGAAGAAGAGTTGTGAGGTAGAAATAGAACATTTGAAGGGGGCCTTGCAGGACTGTGTGTGTGTGTGTGTATTTATGCACGTGCAGGCTCATCTGCTATCAACACGGCAGAGAACACTTTCTGCCCCCCACCCACCCACATTCCTGGGCACAGGTCCTGGCTGCCCAGCAAGATGGCAGGCTGTGTACAAAAGACACTGACGGCAGACAAAGGGCCCACGGTGGAGTGGGTAGCTCTTGTGACTTCAGGAATCATTAATGAGTGCAGCTCAGAGCCTACCACAGTGGGCGTCCTGGGAAGGGCCCCCCCAAGAGGCAGTGTTGGAGCTGTCCCAGGTGGACAGGGAGGACCGCCACCTGTCTTTGGATCTGAGATGGCAAGATGGGAGGGAAAGGGGGATTTCTGTAAGCAGTCAGCTGAGGCAGGAAAGATGAAGGTCATAATTGGTGCTCCTGCCTCAGCACTGTGCTAACTTGGGTCACAGCTGACTCTTGCTGGGAGAGGGAGCCCTCACTGGTAGCGCTGGCAATTTGCCTTGACTCAGTGCTCTCACCGTGGCTGATTTCAGGCTCTCAATGTGATGTCACTGCCCAGGGCATTGGGAAGAGATTCTCTGTAACACCCTGTTATATAGTATTTCCACTGTTCATGCTTAAGAGCACAGGGAACAGTGAAAATAACTGGAGTCTTTGGGTGGCACAGAGATTTAAGTGGGCACTTTGAGCCCACCCGGAGATGCCTCAGAAGAAAGGCTTGGCACTCTGCTTCTGAAAAACCAACTCCAAGGGTCTTCCAGGGCTCAGGGTCAGCTTTTGAGTGTTTATTACCTTTGTTCTAAATAGAACAATAGAATTCTGTGATAAATTTGTATGTTTTAATCATGGCTGAGTTTTAACAAACCTGGCACAGGCTGGTTCCAACATGCCCCTGTTCATAGGACCCCAGGAATTATGTAGTGGGGACAGATGAGGGTTCCGCCCCCCCTACCCCCCGATCTTCTTCTCACATTCCGTCTCCCCCAACAGATCATCTCCTTCATCCTGCACACGATCGTGCGTGGATTCATTCACTCTGCCGTTGGGGGTCTGTACGCCGCCGTGTAAGTGCTGAAGCTGCGGAGGTGGGGGGGGGTCGTACCACCAAGACTGGGCCAGCAGCCCTGGGAGCCTCACCTTCCTGTCCTCGGGGTCAGTTGCAGGACTTTGCTGGGTGTGTCACAGGAAGGCCATATACCTGGCAGGAGGTGCGCTGAGTGGGCACACAGTTGGCTGCTCCTGGGCCTCAGCATTTAACATGAAGTCAGTCCCCTGGCCGAGGTCAGTGCCCAGTGTGGCTCATTATGGCCCTGAGGCCCCCGCTCAGCCAAGTCCAGGCTGCCCCTGGCTGCTCACCGGGAAAGGGTTCTGGCTGCCTGAAGCTGAATGCTCGTGTTCCAGTGGCCCTCAGTGAGGGCAGTGATGTGTATAACGGCACCTCACCCAGAGCTCAGCCAGAGCCTCAGAGGGCCCACTGAGGGCCTGAGTTCACAGCCTCTGAGCCCCTGGCTGAAATGAAACCTGCATCTTTCTCCAAGAGACCACACATCTGTGAGAAACAACAGGCTTTCTCCTTCTGAGGCCCAGGGGTCACCCCAACACAAATCTAAACCCAGTTCTAGTTTGATCTTTGCTGGAATCCCTCCCTGCTTCTGGGACAGCAAAGCTTGTGTTTGCTGAGATTTTTGCCTGGGACTTTCTGCGCTTTGCATTGTCCCACGGGGGTCATTCCAGGTCTGCAGCCCCACCCTCCAGCGAGAGGAAGCTGCGGCTGTCCTGGCTGTCCCCGCAGGGGCTGAGAGCCAGGCTGAGAGCAGTGATGCTGACTTTCCGAGATTACACAATGCTCCTGGATGCAGGCACCACAGCCTCGTCGGCCTCCAGACCTGCTTCCGGGGCTTGTTTCCTGAGCTGCAGATGCCCATTGGCACCACACTTTCCACTCTCTCTGCCAGATCCCTGGGGCCTCTGGCACACCTGGGTTGGGTCTGGGCCTCCTGGTCTGGGGCTCACAATAGTACTAAAGCGAACCTCACTTTGCAGAACTGCTCAGCAGGAAGTTATCCAGGAACCCACACTCCACTGTTCTCCGGGTTTGCTCCTGCCCCTTCTGTCCCTGACACCCACACACCTGGGACTCAGGCAGCATGGGGGAAGCCTGTGAGTGGCACAGCAGTAGTGAGTGACAGGGTCTCAATTGCCATCAACAGGTACCCTTCCACGCAGTTTGGCAGCCTCACAGGTCTACAGTCACTGGTCAGCGCACTCTTCGCTCTCCTGCAGCAGCCCCTGTTTCTGGCCATGATGGGCCCCCTCCAAGGAGACCCTCTATGGGTAAGAAGGGGCAGGGTTCTGTGGGGCTGGGGCTTCCAGAGTATAAGGTTAGGAGGTGAGAAGGTCACAGTGGTGCCAAAGGATTGCACCAACTTAACTTAAGGTAGGGAGTTTGAACAACCCAGCGGTACCAGGGAGGAAGGGCCTGGCAGTCTGCTTCAGTAAAGATTACTGTGAAAACACTCAGCAGAGCGCTGCCTTGTGACGTATGGGATTATCTTGAGTTAGAATTGACTCAAAGGCAATGAATTTTGCTTTTTGTGGGAGTAATGTGAATAAGAAGTATCCTCTGTGGACTTGATTTGGGGTAACTGGAAAAGTTTCTGCCTTATTTGTCCTATTATGGACTTAGGATTCTCAACCCAATATAATGACCCTTTTCTCAGCCCTGGAGATTCAGGTCAGCAGATCTGAGGTGGGGCCCAGGCCTGGGGATGGGATGGACGGTGGGCCCTTGAGGACAGCTATGCTATGCTGCCCTGTGGCAAATCATTGGGAATTCTGGAATGTAGAAAGGCAGTCCCTCAGGCCCTTCCTGTTTCAGTTTGTGAAACAGTCTGCTCACTTGACTGTGAGGGAGGGTCTTGAGTTGGGCCCTGCAAAGACCACAGCACCCTCCCTGCTTGGCTCCCCGCTTCTCTGTGACAGCCATTCTCATCCCCACTTCCCCAGGTGAATGTGGGACTGCTTGTTCTGAGCATGTTGGGGTTCTGCCTCCCCCTGTACCTGATCTGCTACCGGCGGCAGCTGGAGCGGCAGCTGCAGCAGAAGAAAGAGGACGACAAACTTTTCCTCAAGATCAACGGGTCATCCAACCAGGAGGCTTTCGTGTAGCACGCACCACCTCAGAACTGTGGCCTCCCGCCCATACTTCAGTGACTGACCAGTGTCCTCTTCCCCATGCAGAGGACCCTCATGCACCCCAGGATCTCCTCCTTTACCATTTCGGAGTCCACACTCCCTCCCAGGGTGCTGGGGCTTCCTCAGAGCTCTGCAGTGGAAGGACGGCAGAGGACCCAGAACAGGGGCCATTTTCTCACTGCTGGAGGCAGAGCCTGCCCTGGGCTTTACTCTGCTGCCTCTGAGAGGCCCTGAGGCCTTGGGGCTCCGTGGAACCTGCAGGAGGAGCAGGGAGGACCCCCAGCCAGGCAGGTGCTCTCCTCAGAGTGTATGCATTCTGCCTCTTGCCAAAGCAGAGGGGTCTGCCATCCACTGCCTGTCCCCCACCCCCGCAACGCAACTCGGCTGCATGCCCACCAACCACACCTGCCTGAGGACAAAGGCTTGCACTGTCTGTAGTCCCCTCGCCTGGCCCCTCACCTCCTCCCCTGGCCAGTCAGGCTGCCTGAGGAAGGAAGGACCCGCTTCCTGTTGTTGGTGCTAACTCCTTTGTAATCCCAACCCCCTGTGGCCTATTCCTCCCATCTGAGGCCTGGGCAGAAGCCTCGCTGGATTAAAGCTTGGTGGGAGGGGTGGTGATCTGGGTAGTCATACTCAGTATTCATGGGCCCTGGACAAGGGTGATGAGTCAGTTCCTAAACTCCCCCCTTCTCAGTGGCGAAAAGACAAGCACGTTTCCACTGCCACCCTTGATCCAGGTTGAGGGATTAAAGAGACACCATCAGGGTACCCCACCCCCCCACATTACACAAACAGTTTTTTTTTGTGGTGGTGGGGAAGTGAAGCTGTGATTGACAGACATGGAGGTCGAAGCCTTACCGGGGGAAAAGTGGGCTTGTGAGGAGCCAGGGGTGTGTGTGTGTGTGTGTGAGAGAGAGAGAGATCAACTTATGAGTGGGAAACTAGGGGGTTGGGAGAATGGTGTGTGGGCTCTGGATATCCACCCTTACCCATCCTTATAGATGGAACCAGAGTCTGGAGCTGGTGGGCTGTGTCAGGACCCAGCCTTGCCTGTGGTCCTGAACGTGTCCCAGGCTTCCTGGCTATAGGGCCACAGCGACCCCTGCTGGCCAGCTTCTCCATGACACCCTTCCTTTGCCAGGCAGCCTGGCTCACCAACAAGCCCCGACCTTGACTGTCCCCCAGAAATGTGTGAGATTTCCTGGGAGCACTAAGAAGAATGGGTCGACTTTTAGAGTTTTAGTTTTGTTCTTGTCTTTTGTTTTCTTTTAAGCTTTATCAAGTCCCTTTTTATAAAGCAATAAATTCATTTTCCTCCTGTGAAGGAATGCCCCTTAATGTCAGTTAATGGCTGCACATGCCTGTTTTGAGCTAAAGAAGAAAAGGTAAATAAAATAGATTATCTGCCACTAACAACCCTTTAGTGGTAAGTAAAGTGGCTACTTCTTGTTATGTGCTTTTAGGTCAGGATGGGCCACAGCTGTCCCTCAGTGTGTTCTCAGAGGCTGTGTTCATCTCCCTTGGAACAGTTGGTATATTTAAACCGCATGCCTTTGAGTTGGCAGCACAACTCCTTACCCGCTAGGCCACCAGAGTTGTTACTTGCTGGGACAACTCATGGGAGCTTTATCATCCATGGTAACTTTATGTGTAACAGCAAAATGCTGCCAGGCCTGTCTCCTCTTCATGGTGGTTGGTATGGTTGAACCCATTATTGTGACTGTTGTTTTAGTCCATCTCATGAAGTTTTCCTCATTTTCACTGACCTTCTGCAAACATCCTCAAAGTGTGGGTGACGCCCTCCCCTGCTGCTTATACTAAGGGATATCCTGACCGCTGCTCATTCCCCACTCAAACTTCTCATCACTGCTCAGTGACCCCAGGTCCCTCCTGAATCCCTGATACAGTCTTTCTGACCCCAGAAAGCTGCCAGCTCAGAGGACCAGTTCAGAAATTTAAGCTCCATGTTAACTGCTGAGTGTACTGAACACACTTCTAGGCTTCACCATAAAAAGACAAGAAGAGCCAGATTGACATTTCTCAGAACAGCTGTTCCTCAAGGACATGAATTCTCTGAGCGGTTAATGGTTAAAAAGAAAAGTTTTATAGTCAAGTTTGGGGAATGCTCAAGTCATGTGTTTCTAGCAAGCACTTGAGCACATTCCAAGTGAGAGGACGTAGGCTTGGGGCTGTCCTCGAGGGGTGTGGTGTGCTGCTGGGAGGGACTTTCCCGTCTAGAGGCACCCTCCTCTGTGTGGGTGATGACCCAAGGAACACCCATGCTGGAAGCTTGGGGTGCTTAGCAGATGCAGTACAGGTCCCACCACTGACCTAAAGGGAACACGGTCCACACTTGGCTAACCCCCAGCTGGTGATTCTGGTCACCCAATTTGGGACCCATTAGGTTAACAAGACGCGTTTGAGGAACCACTGACCCAGGGAATTGGCCAGGGCCCATCTGCTTGAAAAGATGTGCTGAGGTGGTGCGGACATGGCTTCGCTGCCCTGGCCCAGCCAGAATGGATACTACTGCCTCTACCACATACCCATGGAGTGTGGGCACTTGTGGGAAGAAGCAGACTTGAGAAACCAGAATTTAGAAAAAGAGAAAGTAACCAGAACTCAGGATGGAAAACATGGGGTACAGAGGCTAGGGCTGGCCAGGTGTCACCTGTGCCCCCAGCCCACCTAGGACACTCATTCTGCCTTGATTTTGTATGGAATTAATGGACAATATATTTTCATATTCCATCATTGAATCATGAGAACAATCTATAAGTTAGAGCAAGATTGTCATCTTCATCAGCTGGGAAAAGGTTAGATCAGGCCCCACAAGTGGGTCTTGAGTTACTAGAGCACCCAGAGCCTTCAAGACTGGGACTTTCTGTTCAGAGATATGTTGCCAGGGTCACCAGACTTCCAGAACAGGATAACACTAAATGGAGGAGGAGGGGAGCTTCATCTGGGAAGTTATTTAGCCCTGGAGTTTATTCTCTAGTCACCCCAACACCTGGTGTCGTGTGATTAAGGAAATGACATGGGCGGATCCAGGCCTGTGTCCTTCACCAAGTATCCACCTTCCCCTGGTCCTCCATGCTGGGGTGAGGGACTGGGAGTAGAAAGAGGAAGTGATGATGGATCTTGGTCAGCGTGAGGAAGAGGCCTGGGCCATCCTCAGGGGTGGTGCCAGAAGCCCCTTTTCCTTCCAGCTCACCCTGAGGTCCAGGATTCCTTTGTGATCACCTTTGCCTGAAATGTCTGTCAGATCCTGTCCATGGAATGTTCCAGCACTCAAAGGTCATGTTTCAGAGCCTTGTGGATTCTTTTCTGGTTATTTGCATCTTCCCTCCCCTCTTGGGCCCTCGGATCAACCAAATGACACAGAACGACCCAACTTTTGTTGTCATGGTCCTAGTCTTTGCCTCCTGAAGAGGACATCTCAGTGACCCAGGCTTAATGACAATGACAGTGGAAGACACCTAGTATATGCTCCGGGTGGTCTCAGACAGTGGTACAAACATAATCAACCAGTGGAGTTGTTGGTGGGTGCGCTCAGGGGCGAATTAACCAGTCAGCATGGTACGCAACTGTTTATAGTAAGCAAAGTACAATTGTGTTTACTTACTAATCTGTAACGCACAATTTCACAGGCATTTCAGATAGGGTTTTCATGGCTGTGACCTGTGAGAAGCATATTGTCATGTATTTCTTCCTAGGCATCTCTAGTTGGGTGCTAACCACTGACCTTTCATTTCGTAGCCCCGTACTTAACCATTTTCACCACCCTGGCACACTTTTTTTACCCAAATATTACTGTGGGATCCTGAGACTTGGAGGCCCAGGGCCCACAAAGTAGGGATTTTCCAAACTGAGTTCCTTTCCTGGGGCCAGGGGTACTATGATGAGTTGCAGGCTCTGGGAGTCTATTTACTTGTCTTGCAGTGTCTGGTCCTAAGCCCTGGAGTTAGTCTTTCTCACACTCCAGGAGAGGTCAGAAAACCAGAGCAGCTGGCAGCTCCTGGCCCCTGGCGCTGCCCCGAGTGAGGCTCCATCGTACAAGGAAGAGCAGAAGGTGTCTGCTTAAATCCCAGCCCTGCCTACCATGTGCTTGGTGGTCCTATGCAGGTTTGATGCCTTCACTGTATGTGAAGCACTTACACAATAGTGTCCTTGTCACATTACGCGGGATGGCATCCTTTGTGCTATCCTGGTAGAATGCAGACAGCATGGGGACCAGGGAACAACACCACCCACACAGTGGGGTAAGAGAGCGACCACAGGCAGCTGTGGCCAGTGGAGAAGGAAGTGTGGGCCTTATCTGCTGACTCCTAGGTCTCTCATAACCTCTTCTGTAAGCAAAAGCTTGAAGCATTATCGCTGGCTTGGCTTTGCCTTTATGCCTCTCACATGTTGATAAGAGACTTGGTCAAAGAACTTGAAACCAAGACTCTGGTGCATGGCTGTTCAGGTACTTTGGCAGGTGGGGGTGAACTAGGGCGTCTCTGTCATGTCCATGTCATCAGCCCCTCCATTCCATCTCCTTATGAAGCTGTGTGTGTGTGTGGTGTGCTCGCTGAACATTTCGGAGTCTCGTCCACAGAGGAGTCTTAGAAGCGCATCATGTGTGCCTCTGCATCTGGATGGAGAAGAAGGAAAGGGTCTTGCCTTGTTTCCTTCCTGGAAAGAATGCCCGGGCTGGCCTGGCTGGAGGACCCAGCCCAGGCCTCCAAAGCGGTGCCAAAGTATGAGTGCCAATAACCAGGGTTGGTCTGCAGCTGGTCCTGGCTCTTCCTGGCCCCTTTGCTGTTTTTTGCACCTGACATACTTCCTGGTACACAGTAAGCACTCAATAAATGTATGCTGAGACTAAGAACAGCTTCTCCTTGTCTCCTGTGTCTCTTATCTTTTATCTGGATTCTTGTCACTCCTTCCCCACACTGCATCCACCAATCTCAGCTTTGCTAATTGGCCTCTGCTCTGCCATTAGCAGAGACAAGGGAGGGATGGGAAAAGGAACGACTTTCGGATGGGAGCACAGTGCTTGGTGAATGGAACTTGCCCTTGTCCCTTTAATTTTATCCAACGGCAACGGTCTGGCTGCTTCTCCTCCAGATCTCCCAGGAAGCAGGCCACACTGCTGCCAGGGCCTGGACAGCGGCATTAGGAGGGAGACAGCCATTGGGCCCCTCGAGAAGGGACATGAGCTCCTCGGGATGCTGGGGATGCTAGGGGAGGGAGAGTCGTTCTGACTGTCTGGGACCTGCCCCTGAGCCTGCTCGGGAGACGTGGCTTGAGGCCCAGGGATAGGAGATGAGTTGCTTAGAGGCCAAGCGGATAAGGAAGGATCGGCCTGAGGCAGAGAGATGTGTGTACTCCTTGCCACTTGTGCAGACTCAAAGCCAGCAGGGCCTGGCCAGGTAACCCATCTGGGGCTCTGCCAGCTGCCTTTGTGGCCTTTCACTTTCCACTTTTGAGGGTGAGAACAGAGACTTATTCTCTAATATAAGTAAAAGCACAGGATAAGTTCCATGATGACCTGGACTTCCATGTCACAGACACAGGAGGGGACTCTGGGAACCTGGAAGCCATAGCCCC